GTGTGTGTGTGTGTGTGGCATTTCTCAAAATGTGCAAGCATTTGTTGAAAATCAAACAAATCAATCATTTCATGCAGGAAAGGGGCGTGAGGCATCAACTGCACTGCGCCTGGGTGGAAATAAGATCACAGATACAGAGAAACGTTTCTGTGTGTATTGGTGAAAAGCACCAAGGCTGACACACGGGAAGGTGATTGAGGAACCACAACCATCACATCCTGCCGTTCAAGAACCAAAATAAATAAATAAATAAACAGCTCAGTTTTACAAGCACGCACATAAGGCTCAACTACTCGACTAACGGCGCAAAAAGCACAGCAAAAAGCAGAGTGATCTGTATGAAAACGCACTCAGCAGCCGTGCTTGTGTCGTGCAGTCGACTTGACAAAGCGGAAGTAAGCGTTACGGCCTCGTCCAATCAGAAAACGCGAAAGGGTTAAATGTAAGAGCAAAGCACAACAACAAAGCGTCAAAGCAGCTAAAAACACCAACAAATGGAAACGGAGTTCGGTCCTAGCTGCAGCGGCCGTGTGCAGGGGGAGCCGCACCGCTGCTCGCTGTGTGTGTGCATATTACATACATATATATATGTGTGTGTGTGGTTTTAACGGAGCACATGGTGGAGCATGGCTAGCCCCTGCAGCCCATCCCATGCAGGGACAATGGGTCGGGGAGAGCACAGCAGGCCCGGCGCTGTGGCTCCATGAGACTGTGCACTGACGGAAGGCGGGGATTCATTCACTCACCGTCGGCCTGTGCAGCGCTGGACCACGTATCCACTTCGGTCGCCATGGCGCTCTCCAAATGCTCGACTAATACGAATTAAAAAAAATATATATATCCTCACGGTGTGCTCCCTCCTGTCGAGCAACAAATCCCCCTCCCCACCCCCAGATAAACGTCTGCAGAACAAGCTGCTCGGTGTTTAAAACTGACTTTTGACAAATGGCACGTGAAAACAAATATATCCCCGAGCCTTTTGTTTGTTTTGGGTTTTGTTGTTTGTTTGTTTTGTTCGTGCTGCACGGTTATCAGCTGAAGAAAACACACTCTCACAGCAACAACCAAAAAAAAAAAAAAGATCAGATTGAATTACCACGAGACAAAAAAAAAACAAAACAAATAAGGCTAAAGAGTGAAGGAGGTAAAAATGCAAAGGTTGCACGCTCCTCTCGGCGTTTACGGCTGGGAAGAGTAAAAAGAAAAACGAGCCTGAGAAGGAAGGAAGAGGGGAAAAGAGAGCAGGTTAACTAGTCGGAGAGCATTTCAAACAAACCGTCTGCAGGATAAACAAAGTCTGTTTTTAACTTTGCAGGAGCGAGCCGAGAGGGGGTCACGTGGGAGTAAACGCGGATGGGGAGTGGTCAATAGAGGGGGTGGGTGCTGGCCGGTCTGACCAATCACAGAGCGGCTGCTGTAATATACAGACTGCGCTACATAAAAAATAAAAAAGTGTTTTTTTGTTAGATTTTAAAAGCCGTAACAAGTAAAAAAAAAAAAAAAAAAAGTATCTTAAACACATACAAAAATCACGAAATTACGTTACATTAAGTTTGCGTTGCATTTTATTAATTTTGTTACTTAATTAAAAATATATATATTTACTTCCTTATCTTATATCTATCATTCTATATATTACATTATGATTCTTCTTTCAGTGTCTATGAGGTTTATTGAGTGTTTATGTTGGTTTTGTTAATAATTATTTTTATTACATCAAATAGAATTAAGTAAGTTAACTTTTAATTGTAATTGTTAATTTTGTGGGATTACTGCAAAAGCAATGGCGGCTTGGTGGCTGTGAAACTGTTGGTTGCAGATGTTTGGGTGTTTACCTCCTCTCTTTTTATGAGCTTTTCAGTTCTCTCATTTCATCGTCAGCCTATAGTAGTGGACAGTCTGTTTGTACTGTATTTTTTGGTGTATTAAGTTGAGATGTCCCTTTGTACCTGGTTGAGGACTAATGTATGTTGCTGCATGTCATTCCCCACCTCTAGGTCTCATTTCCTGTCAGTTCACTACTGTCTTTTAAAGTCTAATAAAGGCAAACATGGCGCAGCAATACAAACTACTGCTTAAGGGAGACCTACAGGTAAACTTGCTGTGCATGAGAAAACCTTTCAGTCCACATTAAAGTATTTTTGTCATCTAAATTCACACCACAAGGTGGTGCTGAAAACATGTGCAGCTGATGGCTAATCAGCATTCAGGTGCCCTCAGTATGTAGCAGCACTTAAATGTTGGGACACTATCCATGTTTTTACACAATTTTTTGGATAGTTTTGTCCCCTTCATGAGAGCTACTGGCTGCTTTATAATATAAAACATATCTTATGACATGACAGTTGGCTCACAACTAGCTTGTTATAATCATGGCAGGAGGCCTTGGTGCAAAAATGAGCCGATGGGCCTATATTTAACTCCTGTGTCTTCCACTCTCTGTGCAATTTGTGCAGATTTTCTACCCTACACATATTAGGAATATGCAACATGTAAAGTCATAATAAAGGTATTTTAACACAAGGACCAATACAGGCATTAGGATTAGGTAATAAAGCAAGAACCCACCTTTAGGTCCCTTATCAAGTTAGCTGATTTTGTGCTTTAAAGAGAGCTTATTCCCAGTTACATTAGCACAAACCAGTTATATTTAATTCTGGAGTTCTGGGGCAGTTACCCACTTTTCCCATCTTCGGTAATAATAAGTAATATTAAGCAAATTCTTGGACTTTTTCAGCTCTGCTCATATTTCTGAGTGAGAGGAACAAATGCAGACAGACTGGTCTTGTCAAAGCATATGGCAGCAGTGGGTATATTACAAGCATGTACGACAACAAAAGACTGTCAATGCTCTCATGCTGCATGTTGTTATTGTCATTGCTGATGCACACAGTGCTGTCAGTTAGACACAATCACAACAGATTTCACACTTGTGTTTCTTGTGGTTTACTCCTGAAAAAATGAAGCTTTCAGATTGAGTGCAGCCTGATGATTCATCCTGAGTCACAGTGTTAGATATTTAAGAGTGGGTGTTTTTAGCTTATTCTCTGCTTGAATGAGTTTAGCTGTATTTCAAAGCAGAATATTCCTTGTACACCAGGCAACTACAAACATGTGTATGGTGATTACAAAAGTACAGACATGTTTTTGGTAGCACTCGTTAGCATTTATTTTGACACAAAATCCAGTTTTTGTCGAATAAAGTAGCGCATATGTCTGTGTCCAACTTGGTAGACTCCCAGTGAGCATCAATGCAAAAAACCTCAAATGGAAGAAACCTAAATACAACCCCACCTTCTGGAAAAAGCACCGGGATGTGTGCAACCAAACAAATACTTAAAAATGTGAGAGCATCTCAGTGTTTGAATTTTACATCAGAAATCTCTATGCTATACACCAAAATACAAAATCAATTTGATATACATGATGACATAAAAATGTTTGGATATTCATATTGACAAATATCATGTTAACAAATACCAACAACAATCAACTTTGGCCTCATAATAAGCGACAATGATTGAACACCACAACAACACGGCTGACAGTAACTCTCTCACACATGCATACAACACACTGAAGAGCTGCAGGTAGAATTGCACAAGGATACCCTCAAAGAACACCACATTTTGTATTAATATTAATCTGAACTATTCCACATACAATCACATATAGATACTTCTATAAATCCTGCGATCTCGTAGCTGCAGGAGTAAAAGGAGAACACTTTGTTTCCCGGGAGACAAACTTATCCTGAATCAACAGGGTTTTTTATCTTTTGTGTTTTTGTTTTTTTCCTGGCAAACGAGTTCAGCCGTACCAATGTGGGCTCTGTGTGTTTCTTTTTCAAATCTTCAATTCTTGGCATTACAAAATAAAGTCAGTACAAATATAGAGTAAATACTATCTTGATAAGGAGAAGTAAACAGTCCTTTGCAGTCAAAACTCAGCGAGGTAACAGTCTTATATCAGGCCTTGGCCTTCAGTGGCAATGAGGGTTGAGTTTGGGCATTTTTGTCTGTACACACTAGCTGCTGACAAGGCAAAAAAAAAAAAACTACTTCTATGTACACTGAATTCAGATCAGTTTGGCTTCAATGTAAAATCAGAGTTGGGGTAAAACAAGCCCCTGTTTGTGTCTCTTGTGGATCACCATTATATTTGAGTCACAGAGCTAAATGTCTATTTTTATGAAAACCAATACCTTGTGATATTTTAAAAAATCAACACACAAAAGTTAATAACACTTTGAGAATCCTCAAAGACAATGTCATCCATCTGGACAAGCAAATATTCACTCCGAATATTACCAAATATTTTCTACTACTCTATCTCTTCCTGAGTTCTCTCTGTTTCTTATTTCCTTTGTTTACTGGACAAGAAAAAAAATAAATGAATGAATAAAGTTTTTTCATCATTACACAGATTCATAAAGACCAGATTAAGAATGCTATGTAAAATTACAAACAGTCTAAGAATTAAGTCTACTATAAAATTAATAAATTATTGACAAAACAAACACAACTGTATACTACTGGATAATAAATAAAGTTCAAACAATCTTGCCCTCATTCCCAGGCCTGTGAGACAAAGTTAGCAAATTTAAACACATCAGCTGTTCCAATTTTTAATCATTTGCATAACTTCATCATAATTTAATGGTTTTGTTGAGCTATTTCATGTAAAATTGGCACTAAAAAAATAGGACTCACTTCCTACTCACGTTTTCCTCCTAAATATTTTTGAATGTGCATAAACAAATCTTTTTTATTCTGTATGAAAACACAAAAAAAAACCTGAATATAGAAAATATAACATCATGTTGTACAAATCCAAGGACATAACGTTATTTCCAGTTACCATCTTTGTATCGAATAGGAAACAGAGTTGCAACTTGGGAAATGGCTTGTTCTTATATCATGTAGCTAAAGGTTGTTTTCTTTTATCCAAATTGACAGAAGAGTCTTTGAGGAATCTGGAAATACCTTCAGAGCAGCGGTAGCACAGTGAGTATTGTTTTTCAAAGATCGTCAGTTTATTTTTCAGAAACACGGATGCTTAACTCAGTGACCTGAATGTAATGTGGTAACACACAAGAGGCACAGACAGAGGCTACGGTAAAACCAGATAATCTGAGTTTGCACTTGGGAGAAACCTTAAGCCAAAGGCATTTAAAAATGCAGTATGATGTACAATCAAGGGCCTCTGCCCAGCACAGCTCACGGATCAGTTATAAAGAGGTAAATGTCTTTTTCACAACAGTTAATTTCCTATCAACCAGCATTAACTAGAGTAAGGAAAAAAAGTGTGAATACTATTGCTAAATACTATTTTTGCAAGTCTCACATGTATTACATATTGTGTATATTTTATAAAGAGACCGCTAAGCACTGCTAGAAAATGTTTGCCCATTTGATGTACGACTATACACAATTTACAGAAAACGCACACACACACTCACACTCACATAGCAGCAGTAAACTATAGAATGCCTTACAGAAAGTCTATTTTCATCTAGGCACCATATAACCTTGATAAACATACATTAGCTAGAACTAATGAGAAAATAACAACTGTCCATTCTTTAGCCAAAAAATGTACAGCAGCCAAAAGGCTTTTTTGTCGATGTGTTCAGAGGACGAACAGTCTCCGTCAGAGCATTCGTCACCTTTGAGACACATCTGTGACTCACTCCAAAAGAGCTTTAAAAAGAGACGATCAGAGGATGTCTAGAAAACCTTCATAACGTCTTTGTATTCCCCATTGAGGTACACACAAACACATGATTTGTCTATGACAAAATAAAGGTGTTATTGAGCTGAACCAAGACAATGATCTTTGTCCACAGAAATGAGTTGTAAGCTTTGCCTTTAGGCTTTAGACAATTAAGTCGGTTTTGCACAGAGCCGAGGACACAATGAAGTGGCCTCTAGTCAATGAACTACAGAGACATTTGTCTCATAATAACTACAGCAAGACAAACATGTACCAAAATGTGATTTGAGACATTCTTTCTTTCTAAATCTTATCCTACGCTTTAGTACATTTTGTACTTATTAATTCAATTACAAGAGAGTACATGTGTGCTATTTCCACTACTTAAGACCAGGATTGACTAACTTGACACAATCCTAGGAAGTACAGATCATCAATCAAGGGTATCAACCTCCCACTCCACCCACTGAGGCTGCCTATTCTCTAGTGACAGACACTGTACAATTGGACATCAACTGACAAATTATTTTACATACAAAAACAGTTTAAACCAGGATACATTTAAAGGAAAGCAGTCCAACTCCCAGAAGTGACCACATGTTTAGCCACAGCAATAATAAAAGAGCCATTATTCTGACTGCAACTTTAAACCTTCACTCCGTACATTTGATATTTCACAAGCATTACTTGACTCAGACAGACATTACGATGGGCACTTCCTTTCAAAGTGTCCTCTCAAAGCCCGCACCCGGCAGTGTGCACCGCACCGCTGCAGATTTGGACACTTTTCCAGAGGTTTTCAGTCAATCATCGTGCTATAAAAATTCCGCGTAAACAATTTAATAATATAATATTGTTTTTGTTGCAATGCATAACCTTTTACATTCATCATCAGTGACGAGATTAGGCTTAAAGTTTCTGCCTTGTAAAAACTCAACAGTCCGTCCATGAAGGAATCAGATTTACATTGCCTTGCAAAAATGGCAACGACCAACCAGGAACACATTAAATGTTCAAACACATTAAATCCAAAGTCAAACAGTCAGTTAATTAAACAGTATAATCATGTAACAGTCTGGAACAACAACGTATAATCATAATACCATTGTAAAGCTTTGCCACCCACACATTTTAATCAATGTTTGCACCCCTTTTCCTTCAAGGAGCAACATAAGACACAAAGTATAAAACACACACTTCTTGTATCAACCTCAATAGTTGCCTTCCCTCTTTATATCCTCTGATAAACAGAGGGAAGTAGGCAAGTGAAAGCAAAAATTCACCCCACAACAACAAAGGTCACCAGTTAGTCCTGTGACCTCAAACCATACTACAGTTGTGATCCTTTTCAAAAGTTAGAAAGTAAATTGAGATCACATAAATTGATCCAGACACAGTTTGTTAGAAGCTGCTCTTCTGGAAATATATTGTTCCGTCATTTTACTTTATATACTCCTAGAATATACATTTTCAATTCAAGATATCAGTTAATGGTTAACAGTTTTGTTCGCTGATTCAATGGCCTGGGATCATTGAGTGATATGTGATATCAAGCAGTGGTTCCCAACTTTTTTTGCAGTCTGACCCCTTCAAATGAAAGAATATTTTGTTGTGACCACATTGCATATGTCAAGACATTGTGAGCAGTTCCAGCAAAGATTGATTTTTGCTTCTTAGATTGTTTCATTTGAATGCCCAAAGAGGTAAAACCATCTATAATTTCACATAAAAAAGCGAAGAATAAAGAAACATCTATAAATTATTATATGACTATCATATGTTTTTCTCCTTTCTTATACTGTTAATCATTACATGACCCCCTCTGATTTATCTTGTGACCCCTTAGAGGGATCCATACCCCCCAGGTTGGGAACCACTGACTATTAGGACTTTCCATGCAGAGAGAGAAAGAAGAGATCTAAAGTAAACTGTAGAGGGATGCAGGGATGGTAAAAATGGATTTGGTTAGCATGTGGGAAAGAGAAAAAGAGCAATTCCTTAGCATCAGTTTAGAGAAAAAGATAAGCCTTTTCCTGAACCACAAATAAATTAACTACAAAACAGGACTTTCAGGTGTCGGCTTTGCTTGGAGTTACTCATTTGAATACAGGAAAAAAAAGGGGAGGATCCATTACTTATCCTGTCCCTCTGCTTGCAACCGTTACAGTAAGACCTGTAAGGCTTTTCTTCAGTGATTCAACGTTTTACCTACTAGTCTCGATCTATGAGGATGCTATCAAGCATAAACATCTCACTTTTTCCACTTGTTTGGTGAAATCTCACTGGCCATCAGCTTACAAAGACTCAACAGTGATGATGGCCTCGCCTGTCTTCTGGATGATGCTGGAGGATGAGGAGACGGGACCACACTGCTCAGCAAGCGGTGACTGAACAGCGGCCTTCGCTCGTAAAGAACAGTCCACGCTGTCGTGCAGCACATCTGCCCTCTCCCCTTCCTTCACAGCCTCTTTCCCTCCTTTACCAAAATACCCCTTCTGCACTTCCTCTTGCTCCTCTCTCTTCACATGGCAGCGGCATACCTCAATGCCAGAGTCACCCGTTAACCGGCGATGCCGGAAATGATCCTCCTCGTCATCTTCTTCTTCCTCTTCCTCCTCTTCTTTTTCTTGTTTCTGCTCCTCTTGGTTGTTACAATGTGTGAAAACAGACACATTTGAGGAGAAGAGAGCTTGTTTAGGGGGAGACAGAGTGGGCCTGGGGGGTGGACCACAAGATGAGGCCTCTTCTTCTTTCTTTTTCTGAACAGCCACAGCTCCAAGCGGGTCTGAGAGGACGAGCGGATGGACTTGACCAGGAGGGAGGGAGGATAACAGAATGAGTGGAGAAAGTGGGAGGCGAGAAGGGTGTGACGGACGAGAGTGTAAAGGAAGAGAGAGTGGTGGAGCTGAAGGAGAGACTCCTTCGTTGCCATTAGAGGACCGTCTTCGTACGGGTATGACATCTGGAGTAACTGCAGGTATAACATCAGGTGGAACTTGTGATGGAGGTGGCGGGGAAGGAGTTGGTGTGAAGTTGAACCCAACCCTCGGCATGACAGCACAGTCACCCCCTGCTTCACTGGGTGTGGAGATGTGGCTGCTGTCGTACGTCTCGTCCGTCACCTGGACAGAGAAGGAGGTGCTGGAGGGGGAGGTGAGGGAGCACGACTCACAGGAGCAGCTGGTGTAGTTGTCAGAGCTCTGGGAGGAAGTCAGGCCACTGGGACCGGGGGCCAGGTAGGGAGGGCAGGGGTGACGGTGGTGGTGATGATGGGGGTAAGAGGAGCTAGGACCCCCCATTGCACCTCCCTGCAGAGCAAAGACGGAGCTATAAGGCGGAGGAGGGGTACTAGGCTGGGCCGCCACCTCCTCGTAGGAGGGCAACTTGAAGGACGCCAGAAAACCTGTGAAAAAATAAATATACATCAGCTGCTGCTTGACTTGTTAAAGCATAAGACTGGAGGTATAGTATTCTATATTTCATTGTAAATCAATCACATTAAAAGACCCAAACAAACAATTAATTCATCCTACTAACAAGTAAAGCCTGTCCTTTGTGCTAGAGAACAGAGACCCCCATTGTTGTCCAAAAACTACTAAAAACACATCAATGAGCCACCCCAATGCACTGTCATTATTACTATTAAAATTACCAACACCCTTCTAACTTGCCAAACCAAATGTGTACTTATTCCCTGCTTAACATAGTTCCCAACAAATGAACTATATACCTATAACTATATATTTTTTAAATTAAATTATATTTTTGATCCACTCCCAAAGATTTACTGTATGTCCTTATTAGGAACCAGTGCCAGAGACAGGCTGAGGAAGTCCGAACATATTGAGAAATGAATTAACACGTTGTTGGCTCTGGTCTTCTTATGGCATTTGTTGACATTAATTTTTAACACTAAAGTTACTTTTTATGCTATTTTGCTTCTCTTGTGTCCTTCTGAGGGAGTTTAATTTTACCATACAACCAGGAACAAACAGGTGGAACAAAGAGAGTGTCAGTTTTATTCAGCTAAAGTTAAAACTTTTTAAGTTACTTAACTGATTGATGTTCTATTTAATACATGTTAATTATTTAATGTTTCTGTTGCAGTTATGTTATTCTGCATTGTTTAATATTGTCTTGAGATATAAAACCCTGTATCCAACTGCATTCAAGACCCCAGCATGAGAACACAACATTATCAGACGCTGCAGCTCCCCTGACAGTGTAAGGACAAATAAAATAAATATGTGAAATTAAATAACATAAATAAACATACTGAGGTCCAACATTGATGAAGGGTAGTTGCAGGCTCCATTATAGGCAATCAGATTGATCTCCCTCTGTCTCTGCTGCTGCTGGATCCTCAGCTTGGCCCGGCGGTGGCGGTAAGCACAGAAACAGCTGAAGAGGATCAACACTGTCCACAGCAGCCAGAACCCTGCAGAAAGCAGGAAATGAACCCAACATGAACCCAGCATTCATCATTATGAAAATAAACATTAAAGTTGTGTCCTGTTATCTGAATTACATCTCAGATCTTCTCAGATTACATAGAGGCAAAACATTTTTTATTATTAGTTTCATATTACTACTGTCCATTTTCCAAAGCTTACCCTAAAATATTAGATTTATTTCCAGCTTTGTTGCGGTTGATTTGACCACGATATCAACTTTAAGACATATTTAAGGTAATTAATTGCATTAAATTTACTGCTCTTTTTTTCTAGCATGGGTATTTTTCTTCCATTCAAAGATACTGTAGCTCATGAGTGCAGTGGTTTCTAGTATCCCACAGGTGTAGAAGTGGCAGATAAAACATAAGCATATACTTAACCCTTAACTTTATCTGTAAATGTCCACTTTTATATGATCCTGTGAAAAACATTCAGTTTCAGATGTCATTTCAAAGTGATTTTTAAGAACTAGCGATCAGCTTTAACGAGACAGCATTGCAACAGGAGGCTACAACAGTTGTTTGGTGCCTCCTAGTGTTTGCTTTCGATCTCTGACCGTGGCAGTATTTTAGTTTGACTTCAGTGACATAATAACAGCAATGTATGGTAATGTGCAGGGAGAGGGGAAAAGCCCAAAAAGAGCATATTAATTATCTATACGTAAATGGTAAGATTTTAATTATTATATTTAATTAATATGTAATGTTAACCAAATGATAAAAATTGTTCCATAAGTTAGGACCCATCTTATTAAAAACTACTCTCTGCAAGTGATTTGTTTGGGAAGATTAATATTTTGACTCTCTGGTTTCTGAATTAGTTAGTTTGAAAAAAGACATGACCAACATCCATCTCTGAATTTTCTGGCCAGATTATTTTCACATACAGCAGCTTGTCTGCATATTCTGGTTGGATACATCCAGTCACTACAGCAGAAATCCAATCACAGGGCAAGCACCATCATAACCTGTTCTTAATATGTAAGAGCAATTTAAGTCAAATTAGATTTTTGCATCAGGATTTTTTCCTTTTACTCACAAATGACAAATGTCAAAAAAAGCACAGTTTTAGCCTCGGGACTCTGTCCACAATAGAGAGGAAGTCAGTCAGTTGACTCACACCAGAGTTCATAATAGTAGGTACAGCAGCCAGTCTCTCCGCAGCAGTGCCCTGTTTCACACAGGTAACCTGGATTGTTGTTTACCCCAGGACAGTACTTGGGACTGACAACAGGCCGGCTACCAGAACCACCATGATGCTTCACCACCTAGTGGACAAAACACAGCATCACATATCACCATAACATTACTGAAAATAACATTACTGCAGAGGTTCAGTTGTAATGCTTGGTATGGCTATGGTATTCCCTTTGACAGATGACAGTGGTAGAGTTGGTTCTTGAGCCTCACAGGAGTAGACTCTCTTGACTTAAAGCTTTTAACCAGAATATGAGGTCCAGACAGAACAGGAGGCCAATTTGACACCTATGTTTGAACTGAGACAGGGGTTTAATTCCTCCCCCTTCATGCAGCCACCTGTTATTAACCGACCAAATTTCCACACTTAAGCCTTGTGATGACAACTGAGCCACCTCCAAGATAACTGAGCAAACTCCATCTGCTGATGAAGACCATAAGAGGCCACTGAAAGCTCCAGGAAAGCTAGCAGGTGGATCATAAATCTGGCTTTGCTGATTTTCCAGCCACTCGAGGCCTGTACGACCAACAGTAAACGGACTATTAACAGGGTTGATATGAGCCACAGACTGTGCCAAAACAGTGAAGTTGCCGGCCATAGAAACCAGTGAGCTGTGATAATTCTCTATGGTCTCCTCGCTGTGAGTGACCCCCTTTCACATTACACACATTGATGTATTGTTAGTATGAAAATATTAGTGCCGTTTAAAGATAATTTTGTTAGTTGACAGAATGTTTGTTGGCAGCAACAGGTTAAGGTTACACTTCAAATATCACACACCTTATTAACTGTACGCATGTCAGCCTCCTTCTGAGAAACAGCCACCTAAAATGAGAAACGAAAGCACCTCTGTGAATTTTACAGTTACATCTTAATCATTCACAAGTCAGTGCAAGGGTGAGAAGCAATTAAACCCAGACATTAAATATTAAATGTTTGACACATCATAAAAATCTGGCAAATTTCAATGCTTGGGGAGAAGAGCCTCGACGAACTACAGAAAAACCATAAACTACAATAATAATGCAGCCAGAAGAGGTTGCTAAATCTGTTATGTACATAGTTACCACACATGAGACTGAGAAGTGCAAACAAATAATTATGCATTGCCATAGCAACCACTGTGGTTACACTTGGAGGCTTTTTCTACTCATGTGGACAATGCTTTATATTATCCAGTGGTATGAAATGTTGCGTTGTGGTTGAAGGTCGAGCTCCCTACCGTAGCAGCTTCAGTCCCGTCCAGCCCCTGCAGGGACATGGTCATCTGGTAAAAGACAGAGAGGTACAATGATTAAGAGGGAGCATTAGAGAGAGAAAGGATACAATGCAAATGGCAGGAATAAACAAAAAGATCTGACAAGGGCATTCTAGTAATCAAGCCTGACAAAAAAAGGCCATTAAAGGCCTATTTTCCCGTTTAAAGATGTTGGTTGCCCTCCAGTTCTGGCTCTTCAAGGAGATGGGAAGGTCAATGGCTTTTTAACGAAACCTTTTTCTACTCTGTGGGTCAAGATAGCAGACAGAAGGCACCAATTCCCAGTCATGCTCCTAACACCTTGTGCTTTGCCTTTTTCTTCCCTTGTTTCTTTTAAATGGACACATGCATGCAAAAGGTACACCTCAACTGTGATGAATTAAAAGAGTCAAGGGTTGCAACTGCCAATTATTTTCATTACTGATTTGTCTGCTGATTATGTGTTAATCAATTAAGTATTAGACACCCAACATGCATTCCCAAAGCCCAATATGGCATGTTCAAATTGTTTGTTTTGTCTGACAAACAGTCTAAAACCCAAAGATATTTAAATGTATAGAGATAAAAAAAAGAAAAGCAACATTTATCTTTAGTTAGTCTCTCCTTAATAAATGGCTTAACTGATTAATTGAGCAATTATTCTGCCAATAGACTATTTCACTAATTGGCTTTCAAAGGCAGAATTAAATAACCCCAGTGGTTGACTGATCAACACATTTCAAACAAACTTCTAATTATTCCATTCTTGGTTTATAGCAAGCTATAGCTATATAAAAATTATATTACCGGATAATTACATTCCCTGACTGGTTGCTCTCCGTGTGGAAATTGTAAAAAATTAGTGCTATCTGTCACCCCTGCCACCAAGCTCGTCACACCTGTTGTCAAAACCGACTGTCACATGTGGGAAAATGACTTCTCTGCATGGCTAAATATATCTCATGCTCACAACTGAAGGTCTGACTTTGTTATAGTTTACCAGCATCTTAACATAGTACCATTATCACCCCTGCATGAGACTTTGAACTGCTGGATGAAAACACACCTACCCACTGTTTTATCTCTCCTGAAGCCAATTAAGAACATGATTCCAACAAAGGCAAGGTGTTCCTAAAGAAAACCTAATTATCTCTTGCTTTGTATGCAAACAAAGAGTTAACTGGTTATTAAATTGAAAGAGTTACACTGTAAATAGATTTTCTCTCTTTTCCTATGAGCCTTTATACCACCGTGTAAGGTAAGATTCTGTTTATTTAATTTGGAGATGTGTAAATGAACCTTCAACTCCCCAGTGCAATTACCTTTACGTTAACAAGCTCGGGCTTTCATATATTGAAACATGTGATATGTTTTGTTCACTCAGCTTGCTCTGATGTTGTCGTATATACGGTGCATTCATTTGTGAGTGTGTGCGGTGGAGCATCGCACTGCATCCCACCCACCAAACCCTGCCCACCTCCCACTAAGCACTGTGCTATAATTAAAAATGTTGTTCTCGCTCCAGTATCACCTTTCTGCTCGCTCAGGGTGGAAACACACATTGCACCAAATAATTTGAGATCATTTGTCAAAGTTTTCTCCTGCTGTGGTATTTCAACCCTAATCTTTCCAAAACCCTTTGAGGACCAACGCTTTAGCAGTAATTCACTAACCAGATTCATATGCACACTCTCAGAGGGGAGACCTAGCAACTTCCACCTGATAGAATAAACTCTGTGGAAAACACTGTTTAGATGGCCTTTGCACTCAATGCTGGTGGACTCTCTTTTTCTTCTTCCTGGGAAACGGTGTTCTGTTTAAGATTAATTGAAAAGGAGGTTGTGGTTTTAAAGTTTCACTGGCAGTTTGTCCAAAATTGTTTGATTTTTTTTTAACAGGGGGATGACCCAAAGGGAGGGGTAAGGTTAGGGTTAGGGTACACCTTAACCCAATGGGTGTATTTCCAGTAGCACACTAGTGATTGATCATAAAAATGTTATAAGAATACTACAGGCAGTAGTGTGTCTCTATGATCCTCTCTACTTGTCACTTGAAGGCGACACTACTCTATTGTATACATAGACAGATTAATCGGTTGGGCGGTTAATTTTGATGTAATCAGTATTGGCCCATGACTGCACTCACAAGGCCGATAAACAACAAGTCAGCAGGCAGCCTTGTCAGTGTGGCTGCTGTGCAGCGATGGTACCCTTTGGGAGTTTTGGGAAGGTGGTGAAGAAGTCAGTCTCCAGCCCTGTACTATAACTGTCATGCACCCTACTGTAAATGTTGGTCTGGATTTCCTCTTTCCTAAATGTAACGCTTTTCTCCCATCCTAAATGACAGCA